ATTTTGCTGACGCCAAATGCTCAACTCTCACTCACCATAGTCTCTCAGGCCTCCACATCCCCAGGGGTGGTCCATGAAAAGCACAGCTCTTTTAGCTCCCCTTCGTATACATGATAGCCATCACCCTCTGATATGGAGCAGCTGTGTGTTAGGCCCATTTCCCATTTACTATTCCCAAGGAATTTTCAAGGGCAGAGATTTATAAATCCAACTGATTCCACTGTTTATTAGGGCATTCTTCAATGTTTGCTTGATTTTCCTTAAACCACGAGTATTTAACAGTGAAGTATATGACCACTCTGGTGGTATCATACAGAATTGCACTGTTAAGCCAAAGGTATTGTGTATCTCTGGCAGTTCAAATCCACCAGGGGTCCCTAGTGAGAAATGTGAGCAATCTCCTATGCAACTTACATTGTTATTGTTAGGTGCTGCCAAGGTGAGTATGACTCATAGAGACCCTATGAACAGTCAGCATGAACTGTATCCTACCCTGTGCCATCCTCACCATCTCTGAAACTCTCAAATTCCTTGCTGTAGTCACAGTGTCAATCCACCTCATTGTTAGTCTTCCTCTCCTTTTTTGACTCCTCCTCTTTCTATGCATGATGTCCCTCTCCAACAAATAGCCTTACCTAGCAATATGTTCAAAGTGTAAAAGATGCAGCTTTGCAATCTCTGCCTCCACGGAGCACTTTTAGCTGCACTCTCTCAGTCCATGGGATATTCAGTACTTTTCTCCAACACCACAACACAAAGGCATCAATTCTTCTTCTGCTTTCCTTATTCACTATCCACATCTCCGATGCATAGCAGGTGACTGAGAAGACCATGGCCTGGACTAGGGACAGCTTAGTCTGCAAAATGACACCACTGTTCCTCAGCACTCTAGAGAGGTCCCTGACTGTGGACTTGTCCAGGCAATACATCTCCTGATTTCCTGACTGCTGGTACCAAGCATGTGGAATGTTGATCCAAGGAAGAGTAAATTGTTGACGGCCTCAGTCCTTTCTCCATCTATCATAATGTTGATTGTTGGTCCTGTGGTAACAATCTTTGTTTTCTTGATGTTTAGATGCAATCCATACCAAAGACTGTAGTCCTTGATCTTCTGCAGCAAGTGCCTCAAGTCCTCCTCACTATTACCAAGCAAGGCTATATCATCTGCATAGTGCAGGTCATTGATGGGTCTTCCACCAAACTTGATGGCACATTCTTCTTCATGGAGTCTAGCTTCTCAAATTATTTGCTCAGCATACAGATTTAATAGCTCTGGAGAAAACATACAGTCCTGATACACTCCTTTCTTGATTTTAAACAATATAGTGTTCTCTTATACAATAGCCTCATGGTCTAGGTATAAGTTTCACATGAACATAATTAAGTGTTCTGGGATTTCCATTCTTCTCAATGTTAACCATAACTGATTAGCATTCATACAGTCAGATGCCTTTGCATAGCCAATAAAGCACAAATAGGCATTCTTCTGGTATTTTTTTACTTTCAGTCACGATCCATCTGACATCAGTATTGATATTCCTGGTAACATGGCCTCTTCTAAATCCTGCTTGAATGGCAGTTCCCTATCTAGGTACTGTTCTGGCCATTTTTGCATGATCATCATAGTATTTTGCTTGTATATAATATTAATAGTATTGTTTAATAATTTCTGTATTGTGTTGGACCACCTTTCTTGGGAATGGGGACAAATATGGATCTCTTCCAGTAAGTAGTGAGGTAGTTTCCTAGCATAAACTGGTGAGCATATCCAAAGCTTCATCTGTTAGTTAAAACATGTCAACTGGTGTCCCATTCAATCCTGGGGCCTTTTTTTTTTTTATTAGTTAGTTAGTGCCTTCAATGCTGCTAGAACACCATCCTTCATTATCATTGGCTCTTGCTTATATAGTAATTCCTGAAATTTTTCACTGTCAGCTATTCTTTTTGGTGCAGCAATTCTGTGTATTCCTTCCATCTACTTTTGTTGCTTCCTGGGTCATTCAAGATTGTGTCCATAGCATTTCTCACTATTGCAACTCAAGACTTGATTTTTTTTTTCAGTTCTTTCAACTTGAGAAATGCCAAGCAAGTTTTTCCCTTTCTATGGACTAAGGCTCAATGTCAAGAAGACAAAGGTTCTCGCCACTGGACCAATTGGCAGCGTCAGGATGGGTGACGAAGAGATTGAGAGTGTTCACAGCTTCAGTTTGCTCGGCTCCACAGTCAACACTCTTGGCACCAGCAGTCAGGAAATCAAAAAGAGTATCGCGATGGGAAAGTCTGCTGCTAGGGACCTCTCAAAGGTACTCAGAAGCAACAGTGTCTCTCTGGAGACTAAGGTGCGCCTGATACAGGCCATGGTCTTTGCAATCGCTTGTTATGCATCAGAGAGTTGGACAATGACTAGGGAGAACAGAAGGAGAGTGGATGCTTTTGAGCTGTGGTGCTGGAGAATGGTACTGAATGTACCATGGACTGCCAGGAAAACAAACAGATTCATCTTGAAGAGGATTAAACCAAGCTACTCCTTGGAGGCAAGGATTCTGGGGCTTCGTCTGACATACTTTGGACATGTTGCCAGGAGGGACGGGTCCTTGGAGAGGGACATCATGCTTGGGAGGGTGGAGGGACAGCGCAGGAGGGGAAGACCCTCTATGAGATGGATTGATTCAGTGACTGGGGTAATCGGGATGGGTGTGTCAGAGGCGGTGCGGTTGGCGCAGGATAGAGCAGGGTTTAGGGCTGTTGTGCATAGGGTCGCTATGAGTCGGAAACGACTCGACGGCACATAACAACAACAACAACAACAACAACAATTCTCCAAAACTTACAGCCTCCAGAAAACCCACTGGTAGGGCAGCTGTGAATTGCTTCTGACTCAATAACTGTGAGTTAACACAGTTTGGTGCCATTTCCTTGATTCATTAAGAGACACCAGTTTTATTACTGATTTTTTGTTTGCATCAGTGAAAAGGTCAATACTTAACAGTATTAATAGCACACATGATAGCTTTGTTTCATTTCTAAAATAACTCTGACATCAAAGATCTCCTGAAAGGCTCCTGGGGACCCCCATAGATTTATAAACCATATTGATAGTCAGTGTTGCAAATACTATCTGTTGTTGTGGTGGTGTTCTACTGAGTTCTCAAAGGCTGCAAATCATATGGGAGGAGACTGCCTATCTTTCTTCCTTGAAGCAACTTATGAAATCGAACTGCCTGCCTTTATGTTGGCAGCACAACTCCTTATCCACTACGCCATCAGAATTCCCTAAATACCAACTCTTGTTCCTGTGTACCATCGAGTCAGAACTGACCCTCTGGTGAGTGTTCAGAGGCAGTTAATCACTAAGGGATTGCCCATTCTTCTCCCAAGAAGCAGCTGTTGGATTTGAACTGCGTGCTTTTGACTGTAGCACAGCTTCTTGTCACTAGACCACAAAAAAAAAATTATAAACCACTCTAAATCTATATTGTTGTTAGCACAGAATCAGATAGATGTGGTTAAACATGTGTCTTGAATGGAAATTATATAACTACTTTCCCTCTGGGAAACAAACAGATTGGTTTCTCCTATTAAAAGACAATAAAGTCCTGCATTTTTTGGATTGATTTTTATGAGGTAGTTCTTGTTTCTCCTCTGTTCCAGCTTTATGATATAAAGGCTAGAATTAAAGTTAATATTTCAAGATTCCTGTGCTTCACAGCGAGTGCCAAGTTGGATTCCTCAGTTGTTAACTCCATTGTTGTTGTTGTTGTTGTTGTTGTTGTTGTTGTTGTTGTTGTTTTATGTGCAATTGAGTCAGAACCTACCCATAGCTAAGCCTCCAGGAATTTTCAAAGGCAGTAAATTGCACAGGAGAAGATTGTCCATTCCTCTGCAGAGCAGCTGATGGATTCAAATCAAATGCCTTTGTGTTGGGGACTAATTTTTCTAGGGTGATTCTTTTGTGCAGCTAGCTAGTTTCTGGGCTATTGTCTATCCCTAAACAAATTCTGGTAGCTCAAGGAAGAGAAGACTTCTTATTTTATATTAAGAAAAAATTGGACAAGGCTCCTTATAACTTGTATACAAATTGTATCAGAACATATGATTTTCCTTTCCTTAGGTTGTTTTACATACATTATTTTTCCAATCCCAAGAAATTCTGTCTTGACTCTTTGTCCTACATACTGTTATTAATTAACTTTACAAAACTCAACAGAATTGTCTTTGCGGACTCCAATCTCTCTTCTCATTGTCTCATAAACTCACTCTAAACCTATTTTTTACCAGTCACCTTTAGAATTTATTCCTTAATGACCTCTACGTCACTGGGCAATCCAAATGGTGATTCTCTGTGTTCATCTGACTCAAGTGACTCAAGTGACCAGTAGATTTGATCCTAACTATGCATTTTTGGTCTGTCCATATAATATTTCTTAAGTCGTTCAGGAGAAGGAAATTTAAAAACTGTTACATTCTAGACATGCAGCTTGTTTTTAAGAGTTTTCTTTTGTGTTTAAAAGTATATATTCATAGATTTTCTTTGCAAAGACTATAAGGTCATAAAGGCCAGTAAGTTTGTGATAAGGTGAAGTTACTCAACACAAAAAGGTTCAGGTGATTGCACAACTCAAAGAGTGTAATCAGTGACACCAAATGACATTTGTAGAAGCCAGTGAACTGGTGTATTCTTTCCTGTGTGTATCCCAAAAAACAGCAACAACAAAAATAGATGAATCTTAAAAAAACTACAAGAAACCTAGACAATATCTTTAAAAACAAGTTCTAAATCTGTTATTTTGTATGTTCGTATACGACATGAAATACCCTCCTGGTGTGCTTTATTTCCAGTTGTGGTTTTAGGTATCATAATGTATGAGAAATTCCCAAATAACAGCAGAAACAAACCTGCTCTAGTGAGCCATGAATTTCTGAAAGCTATATAAAATTTAAATGAAATTAGAGTGAGGAAGGAACTCTCATCTAACATGAAGCTGCATGAAGAGACTCACCTGTATGCTGCCTGGTGTCTCTGCAGAGCAATGTTGGCCATCAGCAGCTTGGCCTCCATGACAGCCTCCAAATCACCAGCAGGATAAAGACACAGGTCTTTGGGACCTCCACACTCCAATTCTGATAAAAGGAAGGTCAGCTTCTCTTCTGCTTCCAACAGTAAAATTGTCTAAAGAAAAAGCACAAATAGATAAGTTCAGAACTAGTGCAAATCCAGTCTCATTTTAACTCTGCAACTATTTTTCATCTTGAAAAGTCACAAGGAGTTAAGGGCCCAAAAAGGAAACTGGTATCTAATCATCAGAGGAGAGAATTCAGTGATTAGGAAAATGGTAACACTAAATGAAAAGCAAAGTAACAGCAAGTGACTCTTTGTTGCTGTGGAGTCGTCGTCCCACCCCCCACCCCCACCTACACATAGTGAACTCATGCCCAATGGAGCAACTGGTTGCCCAGTTCTGTATTCTCACCAGGAATATCTGTACATCACACTGTGGTGATCTGCAGGGTTTTCATCTGCTGATTTGAACAGCAGAGTCCCAGGCTTTGGTTCCTGGTCCCTCTTAGTTTAGAAGCTCTGCTGACGCCTGTTTAGCAGCACAGCATAGCAAGTTTCCACTCATAAGGAAGCAGTGGCTGGGCATGGGTTGCAAAGGCCAGCAACTGAACCCACATCTCCCACCTGGGAAGACACTGCACAAGATGGAGTGACTAGAGTAGTGGCTAAAGTATTTAAGTATGTAAGAGATGGTGAGGATAGAGCAGGGTTTAGTTCCATTGTGCATGGAATTGTTCTGCTATGTATGAGTCACCACTGATTTGACAACATGTCCACGTGGAAGGAGGGGATTTTACCACTGATTCAACACTGGCCTTATCAGGTGCAATGCCAAACCCAAACCAAAGTCACTGCTACCCAGTTGATTCTGGCTCATAAGGACCCTGCATAAGTTTCTAAGGCTATAAATTATAAATCTTTACTGGAAAAGGCTGCCCATCTTTCTCAGAGCAGCTGGTGGGCTAAACTATTGACATGACTTTAATGACTTAAGACATGACACACTCTACTACCAGAGCTCATTATTATGTAAAACAGTTACCTTTCACTGAATGCATTTCAAATTACACTATGGTCACTAAATTAACAATTACCTTTCACTGAATGCATTTCAAATTACACTATGGTCACTAAATTAACAATGTAAAGTAAGGAAATTTTATAGTAGATCACCAATAGCAAACAAGCTGGCAAAATTGAAGAGAAAGGAACTAAAAAGTCTTATATAAAATGACAGGTCTCTAATCACTTTCTTACACATAACAGTGACTATCACACAAATCTGAAGGAAATGTAATAATAATCATTAAAGACATTGATGTTTGAATCAAAAAGGGCCTAGGTCTGGTCATTTATTATTTGCTTGATATAACTTAATATCTTCTACCCTTTAACAGAGTGACATTATTATAACATCTTATACACCAAATTTTCTCATGGCTCACCACAAAATAGTTTGTTAAAAATACTAATAGCCGGCTATGTATATCCTCACCACCATCATCAACAAAAAAATAAATGACTTAAAATTTTAGAAATAAAAATAAATGATTAACGCTTGCAACATGCTACTACTAAACATGTGATATACTTGTCATGGCTCAGGTACTGAATCAGTAACAGTGACTGTTTAAAGCCACTGCCATCATTATAGTTAGAAAATGAGAATCATCAGGCTTAGCATACTCAGATCTCATCATACAATGAAGCATATTCTCTGCTATATCTTCTTCAGATTGTAAATTTAAAGACTGAAAACTCTTAGCATTTACTTTCCTCAATGGAGGTAAATATACCAAGTAAAAAAAAAAAAAAAAGCAGCAGCAGCTATATTATCTTCGCAAAACAATTACACCTGAAAGTGGACCTGGTCAGATTTAACAGTGGAAATTGTGCTAATAGTATTATAATGATTTGAAAAAGTTTTCAAACTTACTTTTAATGTGTTAAGAGTAAACTCATCTTTGGCTCTTATAAGTTCAGTATTTGAGTCATTATCATCCTTTAAAAGTAGTTCTAAACACACAAAATTTGGAGAAGGGAAAAAAGGATCTGTAGTTAATAATGAATAAGTGACCACACAATAATAATAGGCAATTCTTAGAGCAATTAATGCATATACACCATACAATAGAAGGCCTGTCCTTACAATAAATCATACAATTGGGAAAAGATATTTTGGATATTTAATGCAATTATTCATGTGCTCCAGTATCAATCTGAAGCAATGGTTCTTCATAGAACCAAAGAACATTTGTGGTGGTGGGGCTGCTGGTTATGTGCCACAGAGTTGGCTCTGATTCATGGCAATCCTACGTACAACAGAAATAAACACTATTCACTCCAGGACCATCCTCACCACCTCTACTGTGTTTAAGTCCACTGCTGCCGGTCACTGCCTCTCTTTGAAGTCTTCCTTTTTCACTGATCTTCTATTTTTCATTTATGATGTTCTCCTCCAGGGAATTGCCTCATCAGGGAATGAAAATTAGTCCAAAGTTTGTGAGGCTACGTAAGTCTTACCATCACCATCCTCACTTCTAAGAACCACTCAGGTTATATTTCTTCCAGGACAGATGAGGCTGGGGTGTTTTTTTTTAAGTCCATGATATATTACAAATTCTTCATCAACACCATAATTCAAAGGTGTTAACTCCTCTCCAGTCTTCCCTATCTTGCTACCTAACTTTCATCTACACAGATGCAAATGAAAATACTATGGCTTGGGTCTGGTGCACCTTAGTCTTTAAAGTTACTTAATTGCTCTTTCATGTTTTAAAGAAGTCCTTTACAGCAGATTTACCCAATGCAATATGCCATTTCATTTCTTGACTGCTGCTCCACAGATGCTGTTTGTGAGTTTGTTCATAGGGTCGCTATGCGTCGTCTATGACTAGATGGGACTTAACAACAACAACAACAACAACAACATTCTAGTCAATATTGAATGACACTGACAAAAGCCACACAACCTATGTTCTCTCCATTCCATTCCTGGGTATCTATTTCCTAGAAATATACCCTATGGCATTTGAGTAGGCCTTGCCACAGCACTGCTAACAGGAGGAGTGTGTATCAGCTGGGTGATGAGTAAGGAAAATATGGACCTGTCACAGCACAGAACAATGCATAGTAGGGAAAATGAACCAACATCATTCTGTTGCGTTCATGTGGCTTTTCAGTAGTTTTGATGTATAACAAATGTACAGTACAGAAAAATGGGGATTATACCATTTTATAAAATGATGCCATCTTATGTGTGTGTGTATACATAGGAAAATATGGATGAATATGGATATAGATGCAAACACATATACTGATCTATATACCATGTGCATATTACATATGATATTATAAGCTCAAAGATGTATGTTATTTTACGCTCACAATAATATGGATGTTATATAATCTAAATGAGGGGAAAAAAAGACATATGGCATCGCACGTAGGGAGTTTCACTGCTAATCAAAGATGGCAGATCTTTAGTGGTTCAAATCCACCAGGGTCTCTGTGGGTGAAAGAGAGGCAACCTCCTCCTATGTGACCAACAGCCTCCCAAAAACCAGCTGGAAGGTCAGCTGTGAGTCAATTCCTACCTTGATGGCAATGATAAACAGGGATAGATTATTAGTTCTAGAATAGGACGTGGATAGGGGAAAGGGAGAGAAAAATGAAGCAAGCAAAGAAACATTACCTTTTATGTTTGGGATGGGTGCTCTGTGCTTCTCGGAAGCATTTCCTTGTTGGCCTATTCTCCATCTATTGTCTGAGGTAAAATTTATTGTTGCAGCTACGCTTACTAAAAAGTGTGCTCTGACCAAACAGAACTTATTTAAGAGATACTGTTGGCCAAACGTCACCAGAAATGCAGGCAAGCCTTTATTTATTAAGTCATCCAATGCCTAAAAAAAAATATTTTACAGGGAAGGGTGAAAAGTTACAAAAACAGTTTTTCAGATACTATAAATTTCATAACTCTTGTACACTCAACCTATTTGGTGGAGAAAGGATACAGAGAAAGATAAGAAGTAGCCAAAATAGTAAGTTGATTAAGACCTTATAATGTCAAAACCACCTTAGCAACACACAACTACTCTTGATGTTCCCCAGAAATCTGTAACATGCCCTTCACTAGGCCAACCCTGTCATAAAACAATAATAAAGCTAGTACTAAGACAGAAAGGAGAGGCTATTTCTTGGAAAGGGACATCAGGCTTTGAAAGGTGGAGGGACAGCAAAAGAGAGGAAGACCTCCAAGAAGATGGATCAACTATAGCAATGTGCTCAAGTGTGTCAGGGATGGTGAGGATGAAATAGGCTAGGACAGTGTTCAGAGCCATTGTTCAAAGAGTCGCTATGAGTTATACTTGACTAGACACCTAACAACAACAACAAGGAAATAGAAAGGACACACTACCAAAATAGAGAAACAACTATAGTTCATCAGTCATGCACACCTGCTGCTTTGTTCTAACTCTGCCCCTTTGTCTCTCTCATTGCCCTCAAGCTGGAACTGACTCTACTGAGGGTCTATCCTGCATCCAAGCCTATAAATTGCAAAGGAAGTGACTGTCCGTCTTTCTCCCGAGGTGGCGCTTTTGGGTTTGACTTGCCAGAGAGCTTTGGTGTTTAGCAGCACAAATCTCTATGGACTATACCACCAGAGCTCCCTTTCTTCAGCATGAGCACATTAGAGTTTCTAGACCAGGAAACTCTAGTGGCCTAATGGGTAAGGACTTATACTGTCAACCCAAAGGCAGGTAGGTTGAATCTGCAAACTGCTCTATGGGATAAAGATGGGCAGTCTTCCCCCACACAACTGACAGTCTCGGAAAATCCACTAGGAAGGCAGGGAGGAAAATGTGCAACAATGAATGAATGGAAATCCAAGTTCTTTATAAACTTAAAATTTCAATTAAAAAAAATAAGAAAAAGAAGACTACAATTAATATTGGTTTGCATAAAAAAATTTTTAAAAAGAAGGTAAGCTGGACAACATTGAATTCTTTATCAGATTCTCTTTCAGATATAATATGGACATAATAAAAAATAAACAAAGAAAATCCAGTAGAGGGTCAGTTATGAGTCAGTTCAGGCACAATGGCACATACAACATACAATAACAGACTAGGAAGATGGGAAGAATGGGTACACAGCAATCTGTATCCAATTTAGTCTGTGGTCAATCATTGTACTCTTCCTTTTATATATCCTCAATCACCTCGTTCCTCTCTAGTACACACTTTTTTTTTTTTACAAAAATCACAACCCTTGTACAATACAACTCTCACTCTTCTGAGGTCTGCACACCTACAGTTGAAGAGAATTGGAGAAAATAAGGCTGTCATTCCCAGTCTTCTTGCCTGGTCACACCTCAGTGTTGCTTAGCAATTAACTGATAACTTCCCTCGCCCACTCACTTTCCTCTTTCCTAGAAAACTGTTTCACGGTGTTGTGTCATGGGTTCATTATTTAAAATGGCTTTCCTGGCCACTGGCTTTGACTTCCCCCACATGGCTCAGTGAGAACATCAAACACGTTGTGTATAAATGTCTTGTGATGTGATTGGTCAGATTTTCCATCTCACGAGGTTCAAACTGAGCAGGTTTAACAACAGAAGATAGGAATCTCACTATCAGCAAGGAAAGAGAAGCAGGAACGCAGTGCACATCTTTTAGGGCCAGAGATTTTTGTGCCAGTCAGACTGGAAATAGCAGTCACAGTGCAGAACTAGAGACCAATGTAAAAGGGAGTTGACTTGGGACTATTGTTCAAACTCAGCCAGGAACCTTCACCTAAGCTTGCTGGAAAACTGCTTGGAGAGATACCACACTTGAAAAAATTAAGAGAGTATTGAAACACTGATCTAAGCTGTGAGATTGGAAATCAAATGGCCTGTGACCATGGTTGAAAAGCTGTCCTGATTAAAGAATTGTATATCCTGCTGCCAACTTGAATTATAACTTGTTAAGTTCTCTAATAAACCCCATAGCCATAAGTAAAATGCTGTGAAATCTGTGTGGCCACTGCAATAGATTTTGGACCCCATAGTAGAGCAGTGAGAGTCTGGGGCTGGTGTTAAAATTAGCAGAAGTAAGTGCAGGAGTTAAGGGTCACGTCCGACCTTAGGAAAATTATTTTTGTACAATGGATGTTATTAATAGAGACTTTGTGAAATTAATAGAGGTCAGATGCAATCATCCCCAAGTCAACTCTACTTTTTACACGCTTTCTAAGTTCTTCTCCTTTCTAAATTCTAATCCACTAATCCTTGCTCTTAGTTGATGACCTAGCTTCATCCATTTAATTAATAAATATTGAAACAGAGAAGAGAGTCCACAGACCTCACAGCTCTATTAATGTTCTTATTCAAGTTTTTGTCCCTACAACATTGCACTCCTTCTTGCTAAAGCTGGTACTGCCATTAGGAAGTTAGATTAGCTCATTACTGGCCTGCTTAAGACATGATTGCAGCAATTCTCTTTCCTCTCTTACATTATAACTTTTCCCTCTCTATAGACAATCCCCTTAGCACATAGCTACGTTGTCATCTCCCCAATTTTAAACAACAAGCAAATGGGTAAAACTCTGTAGACTTCTACTTCCTTCCCCAGCTATTATGTACCATAATTCTGTATTTTTACTGCAAAACTCTAGAGATTTTCAATATTCTATTTTCTTTGCTGTCATTTGTTCTTTTCCCAATGCTATTCCTATACTGAAACACTTTGGCTAAGGTCATTAATTGCTTCTGATTTAAATCCAATGGTCAGTTCTCCGTGATCCTATTTCATAGTACATATAAAATGAAATAAACCCAAACCAAATTCACGGCCATTGAGTCCAGTGTTGTTATGGAGTGTCTACTACTCACAGCTACCTTACGAACAACAGATCTGAATTTGGCTGTATCCTACACCATCTTCTTTATTTCTGTCAAGCTCAAGACCATTATGGTAATTAACATGTCTTAATATATCTTGTTGGGGGTTTTATTCTCTTTTGCTGACTCACAACCTCCCTCTATCAGGTATCAGAGACTGTACCTCTTTATCGGAGGACAGTGCCCGTTTTTCTCTCCCCAGAACAGCTAGAAGATTTGAACTGCTAAACTTCAGTCTAGCAGCACACCATGCTATATTTACCACCTACCAGAGCTCCTTTTTCAAATTTAAGATAATTCTTTTTCTATACCAATTAAACTGTCACAGAATATCAGCGGATTCTGATTTCAAAGAGGAAAACTATTTACATTATGTAAATAACAACAAGAAGTCTGAGGCAATGCTGGGATCTTTGTTGCGATTATTCAGATTCCCTTTTAACATCTTGTAATGGGGTGGGGATCAAATCAGGTCGAAGAGTCAGACAGAAAGAAGCCACTGAGACAGAACAGATACCAGGCTATTTACTAAGAATATGGTTGACCTTCTGTATCAAGAAAAAATACTTTGGATGGAGGAAATGGAAGATTTCTTTTTCCTTCTCTTTGCAGTGCAAATAGTGATTTAATGAGCCTTGGAAATTGCACACAAACACTTGAGGATCAAAAGAAGATTAATTACTAATGCTATTTAACACTCTTTTCTCTCCCTCTACAGAAAATATAAAGTGTAATCTAAAGAGTCTTAAGCAGACCCACAGTACTGTTTTAATTAATTAGCTAATAGAAATTGGTTTTTCATTATGCTGTCAGTCTCTTTTTGTATAACAAGAAATGATCAGACATTGCCTTTATATCCAAAACCACTCCTTAAGGGAGTTTTTCCCCCCTCTTTATTTTAGGATGTTCTAGCATTTATGATTGAAAAGAAATACTCTTTAATATTCCAAAGTCTTAGAACAGTAAAATGAAATATGAACATGTATTTATGTCTTCCTACGCTCAGCTCTTTCATTTGAAGTAACTTATTTATAAATTAAGACAAATTTCAGTAGAAACAGTGAAGCATCTGGAAGAAAACTGAGAAGCAGACATTCAAAAATAAAATAACGGCATTCCAAAATCTGCTGATATATATCTAACAACTGCCATTCTGATTTTATGAACTCCTTACCTGTCTATAATCCCCTTTAACAATGGTTCTAGCATCACTGTTAATAATCAGGGAGCTCTGGAAGCCTTCTGCTAATAATCACTTTCTCAAAATTATTATTTCAACATATTTATGCACCATTTGGTTGCAAAGTGCTTACATTTCAATTATTCAATTATCATCAAGAACAAATGTGTTTAGATGAACAGTCTAATCTTCATTGTGAAAAGTATTTGGGAAGTTAAAGTGACTGTTTATGAAAATGCCAAATGCCAAATGAGCACAATTTAAGTCATTGACTGAAAGGCCACCTCAGTACTGTAAAAAATGGTGAGCAAAAGTGGTAATAAGCAAGTAAGTATCATGAAATGTACTAAATCCTTTTCTGGGGATCAAAGTCAATAGTCATCTTTCAGATTAGTAAAGTATTCAAGTAAATATTAGAGATATTTTATGTGTCTAGATGAGCAAATTGAATATAGCTGAGAAATAGAAGCAACAGCCAATATTTACCCAATCTGAAAGCCAGATAAGATTTGGGTTAAATCTTACCTATGACCTTGGCACTTCAGGATAGAAGTGTACTATTACACACAGAAAAATATGTACAGATTTTTTTTTCAAAAGCAAAGGTTATGCCTACTAAAGGATGGAAATGGCTCCAACATTGCCCACATTGAATATCTAATGTTTAGGAAAACATTGTTATCCTTACCTGTAAATTTTCTTTGCTAGTGAGAGGTTTTTCTGAGTCAAAGGATTGAAATATCTGTCAATATACAAAATACTAACATTAGGAACAAGATTATTTAAGCATTCTTTTAAATAAGACTTAATATTGTTTTAAACATAATTTTAAGTATCAATTTAAGTGTAAAAATAATAATGCATGCTGCAGATCGCTGTTGTTGTTATGTGCAGTCAAGTCACTTGTGACTCGTAGCAACCCTATGTACAAGAGCTGTAAACGCTGCTCTATCCTGTGCCAACCTCTTTGTCTCCAACACATCTACTCCCACTATCCCAATCACTGAAATGAACCATTTCATGGAGGGTCTTCCTCTCCTGCACCGTCCTCCAATCTCCCAAACCTTTGCAGCATGCCCAAAGTATGTCAGATGAAGCTCCAGAATCCTTGCCTCCAAGGATTCACCCTCTCTAGGTAAAAGTGTTTGTTCTCTTAGCAGTTCATGGTATATTCAATACTCTTCGCAAGCACCAGAGCTCAAAGGCATCAATTCTCTTTCTGTCATCCCTAGTGACTGTCCAGCTCTCTGATGCACAGCACACAATTGCGAAGACTATGGATCAGGTGCACCTTAGTCTCCAATCTGATGTCATTGCTCTTCTGTACTTTGGAGAGTTCTCTGATGGCTGACTTTACCAATGCAATTCACCTCTTGATTTCCTTGGTGCTGGTACCAAGAGTGTTGACTATGAAGCCAAGCAAACTAAAACTATTAATTATCTCAATCCCTTCACCATTCATACTGATGCTGCCAATTGGTCCAGTGGTGAGAATTTTTGTTTTCTTGATGTTGAGCTTTAATCCATATTGATGGCTGCAGTCCTTGACGTTCTGCAGCAAGTGTCTCAGGTCCTCCTCAGTTTTAGAAAGCAGAGTTGTGTCATCTGCATAATGCAGATTGTTGATGACTCTTCCACCAATCCTGATGCCACATTCCTCCTCATACAGCCCTTAATCCCAGATGGTCTGTTCTGCATACAGAATGAAAAGGTATGGACACAGAATACATCCCTGGTGGACAACCTTCCCAATTTTGAACCAGTTTGATTGCTTTAGGCCATCGATATTAACATGTTGACTTTAAAAGCAATATCTTTTTGTGTATGTTAAAAGTATGAAGTATAGGGAGCTCTGGTGGCCTAGTGGCAAGAAGCTGCACTGCAAACCCAGAGGTATGCGGTTCAAATCCACCAAATGCTCTACTGGAGAAGGAGGGGGAATTTCCTCCTGTACCAGTCAGATCTGATTTGATGGTACACACACACACACACATACAGACACACATGTATGAAGTGTATATGCTAATGGTATATATAATAAAAATAGGTATACTAAAAGCATATATAGAGAGGTCTGATGGCTTCGTGGTAAGGAGTTGCACTGTCATTCCAAAGGAACATGGTTTGAATGTACCAGCTGTTCTCCAAGAGAAAGAGAGTCAGCTATGAGTCAGTTGAAACTCAATGATACATATTACAGCAACAAAAGCAGATATAGAGATTTGTTGTTGCTATAATGGGCATTAGGTCAGAACGAACTCATAACTGACCCTCTAGTGGGTCTTCAGAGGCAGTAAATTTCACAGAAGGGGACTGCACTCCAATGAGGTACCTGGTGGATTAGATCTAGTTCCAGATAGGTATAGGTGTCGGTATCGGTATCAGTATCGGTATAGGTATAGGTATAGGAGCCCTGGTAGCATAGTCCATAAATAATTGCACTCCTCACCCAAAAGCCTCCCTTCTCTGGTGGTTTGAATCCACCAATCACTGTGTAGGAGAAAGATAGATGACACCCTCCTTTGTGATTTACAGGTTTGGAGAACTGCTGGAGAGTCAACAGCAATGAGTGAGGGAGTGATAGGTATGTTGTTGTTGTTGTTATGTGCCATTGAGTCGCCTGCGACTCATAGCAACCCTATGTACAACAGCCCTAAACTCCGCTCTGTCCTGTGCCAATCGCAC